TATCTATCTATCTATCTATCTATCTATCTATCTATCTATCTATCTATCTATCTATCTATCTATCTATCTATCTATCTATCTTTCTGGCTGTCGGTCTCTCTCTTTGTCTGTCTATCTATCTATGTATTATCCATCTAAGCTATCTAACTATCTATCCATCATCATGGATCTGCTACTCAACGTTCTCTTGAGGACTAGAGCCTTGGAGTCTCGCTTTCCAACCGATCTTCCCTCCTAAATCAGATCTGTGAAATACGTTGTTCTCTCTCTAAGCTCACTCGTGTTGGGAGACTTAACGCGCTTCCTTTTCTGTCCTTTGAGCCTCTGATATTTCCTCCCCATCTCTCGAAGGTTAACCCAAAGGCCAGCTGGACCGATTCAAAGCCACGACGGAGCCAGAAATCCAAATCCACCTTCAAAAGGTTCTAGGAACACAGATAAGTTCCGGCAAAGTCTTCCTTAGAAGACTGATGTCACAGAAGCAATAGATAAGATCGGTCTGACATCCGAACCCCTCCTCCCCCCACTCTGTCGAGGACCTTGGAGTCCTCATAAGCCCCAGAACTCACTGTGTAACAGCATTTGCCAAAAAGGCATTAAGAGTTGTTAACCTAATCTTTGCGAAGCTTCTTCTCCGCTAACGTTGTCCTGCAAACGAGGCCATTCGAAACCTTTGCTAGACCAATCCTCGAATACAGCTCGTCTGCCTGGAATCCACACTGCATATCGGATAGGAATACAATCGAGCGAAGTCCAGAGGTATTTCACGAGAAGAGTCCTCCGCTCCTCCTCTGCTCACCCTTACGCCACCAGGCTCCAAATTTGGACAACCTGGAACCACGCCGCGTACCCTTTGATCTAAACAAAATTGTCCGCTACAACGTCCTACCTATCAATGACTACTTCGGCTTCAACCGCAATAACACGCGGGCGAGCACTTGATGCGAACTCAAGGCAAAATTGCTCCAAACTCGATTGCGGAAAATACGACTTCGGCAACGGAGTGGTTAACGCCTGGAATGCTCTACCTGACTCTGTTGTTACATCCTCACAACGCCCAAAACTTCAACCTTAAACTGTCTAGCGTGGACCTCCCCCCATTCCTAAGAGGTCCGTAAAGGGGGTGTGCATATAAGCGTACCATCCCTGTCCTACTGTCCCCATTTATGGCTTTCGTTTATATCCATGTTTAGATTTATGCCTGCTATCTTCTTGTACATGTTTGACGCACTAATAAATTGCAAATATAGGAGGGTGTTCTATATTACTGCGAGGTGGCTCAGTGGTTAGAGTGCAGCCCTGCAGGCTACTTCAGCTGACTGCAGTTCTGCAGTTCAGCTGTTCAAATCTCACCAGGCTCAAGGTTGACTCAGCCTTCCATCCTTCCGAGGTGGGTAAAATGAGGACCCGGATTGTTGTCGGGGGCGATATGCTGACTCTGTAAAACCGCTTAGAGAGGGCTGAAAGCCCTATGAAGCGGTATATAAGTCTAACTGCTATTGCTATTGCTATTACTTACAGCTACATATCGTGCCAGGGGCTGCTTTATCGAAGTAGGCCCACATTCCCTGCAGCGAGAAAGCTAGCAAGTTAGGGAAGGAGCTGTTTATCCTGGCCGGCTACATTTCGGCAGGCGAGGAGTTTGTTCGTTTGTGGAGTGAAGAGCTTTCCGCTAAGGAAGATCTCCCCCAGCCCCGCCACCCATCGCATGGCTCCGAGAAAATTGAGCCACTCAAACCCTGCTTCTGTGTTGCCAGGAGAAATGAATGTGGAAGGGGCACCAAGGGGAGATGATGCCCCATCCCTTTCTCCCCATTCAAGCCGCGGAGAGTTGACGAATCCAGCTGGATCTGAGTGGATTCAGTGGGCAGGGAAGCCACGGATCCCTTTTGTGCCGAAATCGAGTACTTAAAGAAGCATTTCCCAAGTGGGGGAAGGATAACAGAGCTAGAAGGGACCCTGGAGGTCTTCTAGTCCAACCCGCCGCAGAAGCAAGAGAGACCTTATAAAGGTGAACGCTTTTGGCTAATGTTATGAAGGTTGCAGCGTTGAATGTATCAGACTTTGGGGCAATGGAGGGGGGGTAGTTGGGGGGTCCAAATTTGGGGCACAGGGGTATAAAGGAATCCCAGAGTCGGTAAAAAAAGGGGTGGAGCCTGGTGGTGCAGGGGGTGGGAGGAGCCAGGGTGGGCTGTGGGTGGGGCTAGGGCAGAACTAAGAAAGACTTCGCAGAGGGGGCAGAGCCAAAACAAGTATGGGCGGGGCTAAAGGACCCAGTGCTTAACCAATCTAGCAGAGTGGGCGGAGTCAATGCAAAACAGAGGCAGGTTCAGGGGCGGGGCTAGAAGCCAGCCAGACATTGATAGAATCTGAAGTTAACTGGCATTTCCAACTGCCAATGACAACCTCCTTTTGCCAAGCGGGGAGGAACACAGGCAACAACATCCCCCAGTCTTTGAGAATCCCGGGTTTTCTCCCACCTCCATTCAACCCGTCTACGTGCCCTCTGGGTGCCCCTCGGCTCGTTCCCGGAGCCCCCGCTGTTCCTTCCGCCGAGCCGCCATGAGCTCCTGGGGAAATTTTTTCCTCCGATGGCTGGGAAAGGAACGCAAGAAAGGCAAGACTCGGAGGAAGACGGAAAAACGCGTTGCGCGGATTCAAGAGGACACATTTGGCCGGGCTACCGTCCGTAGTCTGGGGGGCTTCACCCTGGGGATGACCCTCTCTGCAGCCTATGGGGCCTTGGTCATTTTTGGCCAAGGCTACAGCATTTGGTACTGCCTGGTGTCCACCATTACCCTGGCCATCGTCCTCGGCCTTGGCATGGCGTTTTCCTTCAAAGTCCGAGTGACCGTCCTCCTTATCCTTCCTCAATTCTTTTCCAGTAAGTGCCCTCTGCCCCATAACACCCTTCCCGAAAAGAAACACAGGCAGTCCTTGACTTACGACCAGAATCGAGCCCCAAATTCCCCGCTGCTAAGCGAGACCGTTCAATTTTGCCCTATTTGCCCATCTTTCTTTGCCACGGTGGTTCGGTGAATCTTTGCATCGTTTAGCGATTCCCACGGTTGTTAAGTGAACCTGGCGGCCACATGTGGACTTTGCCTGCCTGGAGGTCGCAAGAGCGGATCATGTGACCCCCCCCCCCCAGGATACTGCAACCCGTCATATATGTGAGCCAGGGGCCGCGGGATTGAATTTTGATCATGTAGCCGTGGTTTTGATGCCGCAACGTTTCTGCGGGAAGGAAAGATCATCCATCACTTTGTTTCAGTGCCGTGGTGGCTTTGAATGGCCACTAAACGGAGTACTGTTAAGTCGGTGCGTCTCCCTGTCATTAAAAAGAAAAGCAAAATGAAAGTTTCTTCGCTGAAGGAGCAGAGCCCGAACTTCCCAATCTGAGGGAAACCCGGTGTTATGGCTCTTTGAATCGCATCTTTGCAAAGTTGCCCGCAAGGAAGCAGGAGTATTTGGACGATATTCTGACGTAGAAAGATGGCTGGAAGCGTCACCATGACGCCTCGCAGTCTGAATGTTTGCCAAACTCCCGAATAAGATACTTGGGGGGGGTTGGTTTATAGGAGGTGGCGTTCCCCAGCAGTGGTGGGTTCTGGATCCCGTTCCAACCAGTACGGTTGGAACGGGCCCAGCGTCACCCACATGGACACGCACACATGTGTGTGGTGGACACATATGTTGTACCTGCCTGCAACACCTCCACGATGCTCCAGCTGCTCGGTGGAGCATTGCGCAGGCACCGTACGGGCCAAAGGCTTAAAGGACAGGTAAGGAGCTCGGGAGGGCGGATGGGCCCTCCGGAGCACCGTACTGGAACTGTACCCAGTGCTCCGGGCAGTACCGGGGCATACCGCCTGTAACCCACCACTGTTCCCCAGCCACTTAGAGTGCCAATTTCAGGGGGCCTGAAATGGTTTTAAGGTTGCGGGTGTGTGTGTGTGGAAATGTGAATCCTGAAAAGGACTCGAAACTCTGCAAATGTTTTGCTCGTTTCTTCTGACAGAAGAGGGCAAGGCGGTTCTTATACTCCTGGCCTTCGGGATGGCGATGGAAGGACCCTTTGCCAACATCGTCCGTAACTTCGTCCGGAGCGCCGACACCGTCTCGTGTGGCGCTGAGCTGGCCCTCAACCAGACGGCGGAAATGCTGCAGCGAGCTCGCGAGCCTCTGATCAGTGAGAGAACCTGCACAGCTGAACGAAGAGAATGCGGAACGCAGAATAGAACGTGGAGGGCACCTATTTGGTCTCCATGTATTTGGAACCCCCCACGCGTGGAATGTAGAAAATAATATATAGAATGCAGAATAGAATATAGAATGTAGAATATAGAATAGAATACAGAATATAGAATGTAGAATGTAGAATAAAATATAGAATGCAGAATGCAGAATAAAATATAGAATGCAGAATAAAATATAGAATGCAGAATAAAATATAGAATGCAGAATAGAATATAGAATGTAGAATGTAGAATGTAGAATGTAAAATAAAATATAGAATGCAGAATGCAGAATAAAATATAGAATGCAGAATAGAATATAGAATATAGAATATAGAATGTAGAATGTAGAAAGAATATAGAATGTAGAATATAGAATAGAATATAGAATGTAGAATGTAGAATAAAATATAGAATGCAGAATAAAATATAGAATGTAGAATAAAATATAGAATGCAGAATAGAATATAGAATGTAGAATGTAGAATGTAGAATGTAAAATAAAATATAGAATGCAGAATGCAGAATAAAATATAGAATGCAGAATAGAATATAGAATATAGAATATAGAATGTAGAATGTAGAAAGAATATAGAATGTAGAATATAGAATAGAATATAGAATGTAGAATGTAGAATAAAATATAGAATGCAGAATAAAATATAGAATTTAGAATAGAATATAAAATGTACAATAGAATGTGGAATGCAGAATAGAATGTAGAATGCGGAATAGTATAGAATGTAGAATGTAAAATAAAATATAGAATGCAGAATGCAGAAT